AAGAGGGGACTGCAAAGGGACTGACCTTGGGCCCACGTGGTCCATTCCTCCACAGAGGGGTCTTACTAGTCCCACATTCCACGCAAACTCGTGGTCCCCCACATCCTGGCTTGTTATTTGGAGGGCTCCCTGCTTCCGAACCTCCCCCCATGACACCAGCTGCATTGCAACCCCTTTTTAAATCTCCACCATGGCATGCACTGGTGCCTCGATCGTCATCAACATCCTGGTTATGACGTCGGTCTCGCGGCGTGGTACCCCTCCTCTCCCCATCGTCGTCCAGCACCATTGGCTCGCCAGTGTTACCCTCTCGGTCTGCATTCCTGTCAGAAGCAGGACTGCGCTCTGCAGAAATGTTGCAGCCCTGCAGACTCCAGCTGGAGCTCGCACTTCTGCTTGGATGACAGGTTTCTCCTCCCACACCCCTCCTTCCCCCTCCTACCCCAGTCCTTCCCGCACAGCTACCCATCGCACCGGGTCCGTTCAGGACAACATTGGGGGATCGTCGTGTCCCTGTCACCGACGACCGCGAACCCCCTACCTTTCTTGGCAACCCCCCACCCCCGGTAGCGTCTGAGTCGGACAGAAATGAGCCCCGTACCAACCCCGCTTCTGCACCGCGGTCTGCACCCTCTCCTCTACGCATACCTTGGGCTGCCTCAGGTCCTTGCCGACTAGGGGGATCTTTGGCTGCTGACATTGCAGCCATCACCGTAGCCGATCGCGTCACGTTCTGTTGATTTGTGGCAGCAACTGTTCCCATTGCGCTCCCACCTGGTGGCCCATGGAGGTTTCCTAGGTGAGGGGCACCGCCAGACATCGGTGCCGACTTGTTATGGCGCTTTGTGACCGACGGCTGCCCATACACTCTCGCCGTCCTGCCGGTTCCAGCCCCTCCTCGCACGGTCATCCTCAAGCCAGTCGCTGTCGTCTCGGCAATCTTGTTGTTGCCCCTCTTGACCAAACGCCGCCGAGCGTAATACGCACCTTTCTTGCATTCTGTCTTCTCCTTATCCATCTCCTCATCGTCATCATCATCATCATCGTCGTCGTCGTCTTCATCGTCATCGTTGTCGTCGTCCTCCTCCTCCTCCTCCTCTTTGATTGGCGGAGCACGTCGGCGCCGCAGCCTCTCACCATTCCCCTTGATTGCTCGCCCACCCCCACGCTCCTTCAGCCTGGCTGCAGTCAACGCAGCTAAGTCAATGTCATTGTGCGCTTTGAAAGCACCAGAACCCCGTCCCTTCGACTTCGCGGCTGACATCTGCGCCGCCGCATCTGAGCTCATCTCGCCGGCAGCCGCAGGCACTTTGGCTCCAGCTTCTGCATTGGGAGCATTGGGCATACAATAGCAAGTCACCCACCCTTGTAATGCTGCAGCCTCCGGGGCACAATGGCTCACATTGTTCGCCGAAAGCACCTGCTTTTGACGCTCCGCCTGGACTTTCTGCACCTCCTCATCGTCCTCGGTATCCTCGTCGTCGTCCTCACTACAGCTTACGACCATAGGAATAGTGGCTTCTGAGTCCGACTGGTCCCGATCTCTCGAGTTGGTACCATTGGGACAGTTCTCTGACAAAGGAATAGAGTTGGGAATGGTCCCTACCATCGTCAGTTTAGAATTCCCTTGTGCCATGATTGGGGATGGGACAACAACAGCAACAAATGGGGCCTGTTCGGCTGCCGGTAGCAAAGAGTCCCCTGGTGTCTTCCGCTTTGCCGTTGCGGTACTCGTTGTTGTTTCCATGGTCGCAGCCAACGAAGGGGATGGGACACTTGCATGCAAAGACCTGCATGCGGGTGCACTGGTAGATGGCAGCAGGCAATGCGGCTGAATATGAGGTTGATGGAGAGAGAAAGAATGATATGAATGAGGAGGAGGAGGAGGCACAGCAGATGCACCTGGAGCAGAAGGAACAGACGGAGAGGGAAGAGGGGGAGAGAGAGGAGGAGGAGGAGGAGGAGGAGGAGCTGTAGCAGTGGCACGAAGCGGCAGGTGGGGAAGGTAATTGTGATGGTGATGATGATGACACAAGCTGCCGGGCGTGCTCCTTCGCGAGCTCGGCCCCTTAGCAGGGTGTCTAAAAATAGTATGGGACTGATGAGACTGATCATACAGCGGATGGGAGCGATGATGACTCCCTGAGAACTCTAACTTCAAACTCGCCCTTGATCCTCCAGCTACACCTACTCCTACTCCTACTCCTGCCGCTCCTGCTCCTGCTGCTGTTACAGTGGCGACCATTGCAGTGGCAGCGGCGGCGGCGGCACCGGCGGCTGCGGCTACTGATCCTGAAGAAGTGCAAGGAGCACATACCTTCCACTGCTGCTCCCCGCCATCGACAATGTTTCCCTCCGAGGGTTTTCCATTGACATCAACTGGGCCTCCTTCGAGAAGGAGGGAAGGAAACACCGCAGCCCCAGCTTTCGTGTTGCGATCACTCAATCGACGAGTTGGAACATGACAACCTGTTGATGTCAACGTCCAGGACTCACCCACAGTCGCCATCGTTGCAGACACCTTGCTAACTCCGCTGCATCCACCGAGCGAGGGCTGCTCTTGTCCCCCTCCTACGCCTCCTACTCCTACTCCTCCTACCCCTCCTACTCCTATTCCTCCTTCAGCTCCGCTTTCCTTCTGAACCCCCATAATAACTTTCTTGCGGTCCATGTTAGCCAACTGATAGGTCCCGGCAGCGATCCTACGCTGTGCGGCAATCCAGGACGCCAAAACACAATTCAATGCCTTCCCAAAGGTCATAAACCGCGACTCCGCTGATAGCGCTTCTGTTCCTCTCCCTCCTTCTCCACCCTGATGAATCTGCCACACAAACAATGAACCACATGCAAAAACGACTACGTAAGTGTGTGTGTGTGTGTGTGTGTGTGTGTGTGTGTGTTATAGATTTACCCAACAACAGCCCCAATTCCACCCAGGTGAATAGATTCAGAATCAAAGCAGTCTTTGTCCTATTGCAGACAACGAGAGCAACATATTATTAAAGGCTTTTAAAGCAATTTTACAATTAGACAGTTTTTTGGTTGTCCTTGGGGTACCCCTTTCATTGTCCTTGCAGCTCCCCGATTACTGTGCCTCTTATGCACAAGGCTGCCCACGTTAATTGTGGTTGAGCAGCAGCCGCCCACATCCCCGTGTGCCCTCACAGCGCACTTGCACGTTATTTCAGGAGGCAGAGTAAAAGGGAAGGTATGCTCCTGTGCATCTCTTCAGAGCTTCATACTCCGGTTCATTTCACTTCAGATCTTCAGCTTATACAGTCTTGTGTCCATCCTTCATCTTCATACTTCCGTTCATTCCATTTCTGATCAGATTCTTCATATCGTCTATTCTCTTAATGATGCTCATTCATATGTTTTTCTTAGTTACTGTAGTACAAAGGGAGTGGAGGGGAGGGTGGAGGGTAAGGGATAGAAGGCAGAGTTCTCTAGGAGTATGGGGCAGGGGAGGTCGGGGAAACGCCGCAACGGGAAGAAAAGAAATATGTGGGAAAAAAAAAAAAAAAACTATGGCGAGTGGCCACCCCTACAGACCGGACAGGACTAGTTCCGGTGTGGGCTATGGAAGCACCGCATCCAATTTCCGCAGTCACGGTTGCTGCATCGAATGGCGCGACGCAGACAGATGTCACCACAGGCTAGGTGGCTCGTACATGCTAGGAACACACGACTCGAGGCACGTCGACCGCAATTATAGAGGCATTGTCGTTCCAGCCCCTGTCTACAAATTGGACATGACATGTCGGGGTGCCGTACAATGCGTACATGAGTGCAGTACTAACGGTCATCGTACGTATGGAAGCAAACACTCGCATGGACTATACCTTCATAATCCTCACGGCACAGGGCGTGCGAACCACATGCTAGTTGAATCGCCGGCAGGTCATCACAAAACGGCATGGAGCATCTTTCTTGGGCTTCCTCAGTATGTGTTCCTTCTGTCGCATGGGCAGACGACGACAGGGAGGGTCCTACGCAAGGGCGTTCAGCTCCTGCAGCCTGCAGGATATGATCCGCAACAGCTCGCCCTGGCGGTGATAAACTATGAGCACATCGCTCTCAGACTGCCGGTGGTTCATATCGAAGTCTATTTTCCTCCTCGGACTGCCGTGTTCGTCGTTCATCTGGGAAGAAAGACAGGGATCCGTCGGCGGTTGCCCGTAGGTGTATGACCAAGACAGCATGTGGGACATGCTAGAAGAGGATGTGGAGGGTGATGGCACTGGGGATAGTCCACGCAGTAAAGACACATACTTTCTATGACAGCTTCCTGGAAGCATTGGCGACACAAGACATGTTGCTGACATGTCATTAGTATGGAAGGCTGACGTGCACAGTTATTTAAGCATGGCAGATCAAGGCCACAACGGCATGCTGGGCAAGTAATCAGGGGGTGGGCAGGATGAGCACACTCAGCACAGGACACGAGAGATCACAATTTTCGTGTGAGCAGCTAGCAGCGACCATCCCTTCATAGTGTTCGGAGCAGAGGCTATGTCGTGTGTGTGTGTGTGTGTGTGTGTGTGTGTGTGTGTGTGTGTGAGAGAGAGAGAGAGAGAGAGAGAGAGAGATCAATTTTCGTGTGAGCAGCTAGCAGAGGCTATGTCGTGTGTGTGTGTGTGTGTGTGTGTGAGAGAGAGAGAGAGAGAGACAGAGAGAGAGAGGGTCACAACACGAAAAGCTTTCACCCACACTCTTATCATTAAACCCCTATCCTCTTGACCAGTGGCACACTTGAGTGTGTGTGTGTGTGTGTGTGTGTGTGAGAGAGAGAGAGAGAGAGAGAGAGGTGAGCTGTGTTCGGGGGAAGACAACGTCAGGGTTGGTTTTTAAAACATAGCAATTAAGGTTAGGTATCAACGAGGACGGAAATAGCCCCTCTTCTGGTTAGCTCGGTTTTACGGTTTTACCTTCATGGCCGACGGCCCGACGTGTGACTTTCGTTTTTTGAGGGTTGCGAATTGTCAGAGCGGCCGCTCAGCTGAGCGGTCTGGTGTAACGTGGTGTTGGCCAAATCTGCTTCTACGACCGTCTTCCCCCGAACACAACGCACCCTTATTTTGGCTGCATCTGGCTGGAAATATAGCTTGTATACGTTCATTTTTAGGGTGCGTTATGTTCGGGGGAAGACGGTAGACTTCTAGAATCTAGACCATATTCCCAACGCCTGCGCCTAAGAGGTCTGGTGTAACGTGGTGTTGGCCAAATCTGCTTCTACGACCCTCTTCCACCAAACACAACGCACCCTTATTTTGGATGTATCTGGCCGGAAACATAGCTTGTATACATTCATTTTTAGGGTGCATACGCCTGCGCCTAAGCTGGGTATTGGTCCCATAATTTTTCCAGGTTGTTGGTTGACTATTCCTGGGCCCGCGGGGCATGGTCCCACTAGCAAAGAGGATCGGATCGAATGCCTGAATCTGGACGAGTTTATGGAGATGTGCAGGAAATCGAGATTGAACTGCTTTTCTGCATCTGTGCTTAAAACACGTCCAGATTCAGGAGCTCTATCCTATCCTTTACGCTAGTGGGACCTCGGCCCTGGCCTCTCCTTTTGTGTGGTTTCAATACGAGCAAAGTTTCTATCCCCCCCCACACCCCCCAAAAAAAAAAAAAAAAAAAAGAAGAAGAAGAAGAAAAAGCCCTCTAATCGTCGATGGTCAGAATGCAAAAACTAGCACACGGTCAGAATGCACCTAGACAACTTGCACGTTCATGTGCGTGCAATCGGGGTAGCTTTAGCATTTGTGTGTACTTCTCTGATAGTTCTAGTACGAAGCTTATTATTATATTATTATTATGATTCTTAAATCCGCCATGTACCTGAACGATGTGCACGCCCAGGTACGTTTCAATCCGATAGTAGATGGCTGACTCTCCTTTTTTATCGTTATTAAAATAGCTAACGTTGTCGGTAGCTGGCTGCACATCATTGCTGATTTTTTTTAGTTTTTTTTTTTGTGGCCCGATGGACCACCGATCAGATATTAAACTGATTTAAAAATAAAAAAATAATAATAAGAAAAAACTGATCAGATAACAGATACAGTGCACTTGATCTTAGCCAAAAGGCCGAGAAAGCTATCCATCATTGCTGAATCATTATGGCGGATTTATTCGTTAAAAAAAAAAAAAAAAAAAAAACTGCAGCCTACCACCTCGGATGCCTGTGAATTTGGCTGCCGTTGATCCCTGAGACTACCGTCTTTTTCACCGAATAGATCAGCCCTGTTATCATCATAGCTGTGTCCCTATCTGGACTGAAAGTTGCCCCAAACGGGCCGGTTTTATTCGGGTGAAGCCTTTTGGCTCAGGTGGACGCTGGCGTGGATCACTGACACGTCAGCGCCCTGTAATTGTAGCTGTGCCTGCATCTGGATTGAAAGTTACCCCAAATACGGCTCTTGTAATGACCGGGCGTTCTATTCGGGTGAAGCCGCATTAAAAAAAAAAACAAAAAAAAAAACGACGTTGATTGCTGAGAGCCTGAGAGTACCGTCTTCAACCGAATATAGATTGGCCCTGTCGTCATCATCATTAGCTGTGTCTGCATCTGGATTGAAAGGTACCCCAAATACAACTCTTATGATAACCGGGTAGGTGAAGCCGCCTAAATATGGCTGAGGTGGATTCCTGACGGAAATTGCTGAAGTGGATCATACCCAGCAGCCGTTGGGCCACAACGGTCTACTTGGTGGTGGGCATGAGGATAATTTCGTGCTTTCAAAAAAAAATAAAAAAAAAATAAAAACAAAAAATCGGCCTCTAAAATTATCCAGGGCCTGGGGGACTGGGTACACACCTAGACGCAAGTTCGCGCTGGGACTGGGTATAGCGGCATTCCCATCTTTAAGTGCGGCTACAGATGCAATTTTCCCTTATTATTATTATTATTATTATTCGGCCAGACTCTCCGCTTATATTAGTATTATTATTATTATTATTGTTATTCGGCCAGACTCTCCGCTTATCCGGTTTAAAAGATATCGGCCAACCGTAGGCTGCGAAGATCACCGCCCGCGCGGTCACCCCCCTTCCCSCCCCCCCCCCCTCTCGCGCGCGGACTCTCACTATCTTCGATTCCCGCGTCTGCTGCGCGCGGAACACGGGAGAAAAGGGGAAAAAAAGAAAAAGAAAAAGTGGGAGATACGTGTAGTCGGATCAGCAGATCCTGGCCGTAGATAAGTAAATGATCACCGACCGTCGTAGATATTCTGGCCGTCGATAGCGTAGATCGCATGGCGGTCCGTTATCTATCTACTGGCCGTTACATAGATAAAATAGATAAAATAGATAAAATAGATAGATAAATAAATAAAATAGATAGATAGATAGATAGATAGATAGATAGATAGATACTGGCCGTTAGATAGATTCCTAGATAGATACGTAGATAGACAAGGTAGATATGAGGATAGACAAGGTGGATAAGCTAGATAAATAAATCGATAGATAGATATTATATAGATGTATACATAATGCCCATAGGTCGTCCATCTATTTACTCCCCGTGGCCCATCGAAGAAGAAGCTCGGTCCTGATGATGCCACCGGCTGTCCCCTGATCCCTGGCCGGTGGTATCGCCCACCTTCTGTAGCAGGAGGTATCGCACCACCTGCTCGTGGGTGGGTGGGTACAGCTCCCGCATGTTCCCTCCCTCGTTGGAGGCTTGAGCACGGATGCGGCTGCTACGGGCTTTCCCGTAATACATACTAAAATTACACACAAAAAAAAAGGCCTGAATGGCCGTGCTGTCCAGATTTGACAGGTAATTGAATTGCTTGGGGCCTTGGGCTTTAA